ACTTCTAACATAATAATAATGATGGTGATGATGTCACCTTAATTTTTATGTTCCCATCTGAATTTCTTGTTGCTTTTTCTGCAGGAAAAATGTATTAAGTTCTCAAGTTCCACAAGCACAAGCTGATACATGCGCAGTTTGCTCTTTTAAGGTAGAGCAGCTTAAAATAGCTGTGCATAGTGTCAGAGAATGACGACTTGAATTTTCTTGAATTCCAGGTGTTACGTTTACAACAAAAAGGGACGGCTGGTGAATGCACCGTATGTGGACAACTCTTACAAGTGGGCTGGTGGTGGCTTTCTCTCATCAGTAGGTGACCTGCTGAAATTTGGGAATGCCTTGTTGTACAGTTATCAAGCCGGACAATTTAAAAACACTAAAGGCAGACTTCTTCCTGGGTACCTCAAACCAGAAACAGTCACAATGATGTGGACCCCAGTGCCAAAAACAGAAGTATCATGGGACAGGGATGGTAAATATGCAATGGCTTGGGCTGTAGTAGAGAAAAAACAGCAGTGTGGCTGTTGCAGACAGCAGAGACACTATGCATCTCATACGGGTGGTGCAGTGGGGGCAAGTAGCGTCCTCCTCATTCTTCCTGAAGAGCTGGACTCTGAAGCTACAGATACTGGGCTAGTGGCACCACCTAGAGGAGTAATTGTTACTATTATCTGTAATATGCAATCGGTTTCACTCAACAGCACGGCCTTAAAGATTGCAAGGGAATTTGATAAAGAAAAACGGGCACAGTATACAGGTTAAAAAAAGGAAAAAGGTAACGTGTAACTGGACTCACTGCACAGAAACAGGAAAAACAAACGGAGAAGGGTGTAATTTGACTCTAAGATCACTAAGAATACATGAAGCAAAAGCATCAACAGTTCGCTTAATTAACTTCTGCTAGTGGTGCTAAACTTATCTCTAGCTGGAATTAATCTCTCAGGGAAGTTCCTGACTTACAGAAAGGAGAATGTAACAGTCAGCTTTGACTTCTGTAGTATCTGTGTAAATCATCATCATGTTAGCAGGTTTTTTTCTCATCAGTCAAGCACTTGATCAAGATTAAAACCAACAGCACTGGTTTCTCACACTGAGAAGTACAATGACAGATGATCTACCTTAAATGTTAAACTTTTGAAAGATTTCGTGTCTTGATTTGAGCACACAAAGATGTAGTCTGTTCTTTCTCAATGTTCCAGTCTGCCAAAACTGGTCAGTATTACTTTTGAAAGAAAACTGGGTTTACTGTTGTTTTTTTTTTTTATTTTGTATTTGATCAAAAAGAAAAAACACAAACAACAACCCCCAAATCTTGAAGCTACCTCCAGAATGCAGATTTACACCAGAAGTGTGCTTCTGACAGAGCTTGTGCATTGCTTAGAATTAGGAAAGAATAAGGATAGAGTAATGTAAGTAAAAAAGTCTTTTTGGTATTTAGATGTCTTCTCTTCCACTTTCATTGGAGACGGGGAATGTGTGAAACTAGTTTAACGTGAAATAAGGGTATTGTTTCCACAGTCAGAGGTACCTGAATAGCACAACATGGTGAGCTGTCAAACTCTCATTGTTTTTGAACGATACACATGCTGACTTGGGTAGCCAGAAATGACACTGTATTCCATAATGTAGATATTCCTTGAGATACAGGAATCGGGAACTCAACAAAATTTAAAGCCCATTCTTAGAATCACAGAATCAACCAGGTTGAAAAAGACCTTTAAAGTCATTGAGTCCAACCCCAGCACTGCCAAGGCCACCACTAAACCATGTCACTGAGTGCCTCATCTACACAGCTTTTTAACACTTCTAGGGAGAGTGATTCCCCCACTGCCCTGGGCAGCCTGTGCCAATGCCTGAGCACCCTCTTTATGAAGAAATTTTCCCTAATATCCAATCTAAACTTCCCCTGGCACAGCTGGAGGCTGTTTCCTGTTGTCCTATTGCTTGTTACTGGGGAGAAGAGACTGACGCCCACCTCACTACCACCTCTTTTCAGGTAGTTGTAGAGAGTGAAACTTTGAGAGGTTTTGTAGATGTGCCTCACTTTTGCACAAGGTTGAAGAAGAAATTGTGATGAAGTTCCAAAGAAGCATTTTCCAATCTTCAATTTTACTATAGGAATATAACAACATCTGAGTATATTTTTATATATTCCAAAACAGCATGGAAAATTTCTACTATCTCAAGATTTGCCCCTACCCCACTTTCCCTGCAGTTACATCAGACAGTATTTCCAGGCTGAGACAAAACAAAATAGCCTTTGGGAAATGTTTGAATACTTTCTTCCCTGTGCTGTTCAGGAGCTCTGCTGCTCTGACTTTAATGAGCAAGGCGTCTTAGCTAACAGCCTTACCTGCCTTTGTCCCAAGTTAGCACTTTTAATATTAACTTCATAGTTGCTATCTGCCCTATGATGAAACAACATGCTGTCATCTCTCTTCCCAGTATGCCTGTGATACCATTTATTACCCAAGACTGAAAAAACAGGAAATTTAATCTTTTGAGGTGTCAGTGTTTTACCTACATTTTTAATTGAAGGTAGTAAGGCTGGTTTAGTACTCTTAAGTATTATCGTTCTTGTGCCTTAAAACAATAAAAGGTAAACTATTTGCTTGGGTTTTCTGGCCCACTCACCAAAACTTCACTTTTTTATTCGTTAATAATGAGTTGTCTTTATCTCTAGAATATCAGATCAGTAGGGACAACAGAGAGAACCTTTTTGAACAAACTTTCATTTGGTCAGGCAATAAATCAGCTGCTTTTTCACTGAAGTTACTGATACTGTTTGACAATTCCAATACAGAAGTACTGGAGGTGAGTACCTTCAATAGCAACTTTTTTTCCCAATCTTTAGTACCTTCTAGCTCGGTAAACCTGCAGTGGCAGAAGTCACTGCCCATTTTACATGGGGAACAAGAGTAAGTAGTTCTGAGTTGTTTTCATTTTGAAAGAATACATGAATAGAATGGACCAAATACAACGTTTTAAATATAAAAAAATCTGCAAAAGTAGTTTCTGTACTTGTTTTAGGATTTAGAACATACTTTTCTTGTATGATACATCTGTTTTGCAAATGTCATTTTGGATACTTGAGAGAAAACAAGTTTCCCTCACTGACCGTTGTGTTTGGGTATAGAGATTGAGAACCTAGAAAGCACAGGTTTACTGTTATACTTGTCTGCATATGACCAAACACTAATATATATATATATATTTATAGGTATGGGTTAGATATAAGGAAATTCTTCACTATGAGGGTGGTGAGGCACTGGAACAGGTTGTCCAGCGAAGTAGTAAATGCCCCATCCCTGGCAGTGTTCAAGGCCAGGTTGGACAGAGCCTTGGGTGACATGGTCTAGTGTGAGGCATCCCTGCCCATGGCAGGGAGTTGGATGATCTTAAGGTCCTTTCCAACCCAAACCATTCTATGTACAAAAGTGAATAAAGGTAAGAAGTGTCTAAGGCACTTCTAACACCAAGATATTAATGACAGTGCCTCACTCCCCTGATGGAATTTGTTTAGCCACCAACTTTTTAAATACATATCATGTTCTTCATATTGTAGCTTAAAAACCTTCTGGTTTTAAAAAACCTTCTGGCACATACACAGTATTAGAGATGCTATGATGTCTGAATTTCATCTTCCAGTACCTGGAACAAAATGTGTCATGGACTTTTTCTGATTTGGTATTTACTCAATCATGAATTCTTACCTTTTGGATGTAGAGGAAGAGACGGCAGAGGTACAGGAGACTAAGATTCAATCTGGCCTTAGCATACATATTGAGGTCACAAGTGAATTAATATTACTGTTTTGATCTTTAGTCTGAAAGCAGTTATTTGATGGACTGGCATTAAGTGTGGGAAACTGGTCAGTTAAGAGCAACTTTCATGACAAACTTGCACTTAAATTAACCTTTATTTAGAAAACACGGTATGGCACTAACATAAAACTCTGCTTTTCTTAAAAGGCATGTATATTAAATTGGTGCATCTGTTTCTGTATCAAACACCTATTTTTTTGCATCTGGTAATTATGTGTTCACTGCTGTTTGAATTAAATTAAATAAAACTTAATACAATGAATTGTAATACCAGGTTTAGGGTTTATTTTTTTTTATTTACTAGAAACATATTTTTGTAAGTCATAAAAAAGATGCATGCTAAATAGAAATTCCCAAAAATAATTAGCTCACAAGACACTAGATACTTTGAAAGAGATGTTGATACATAACTTGAGCCATTATCTAGTAAAGTAAGATACATGTAAAACTTAGTTTGAATGTTTTCTCATGGTTTAAAAAAGAAAATGTGCCTTTTATCAGCCATTTAGGAAGTAATGGCTTTTAAAAACCTTACTGCAAAAAGGTAATTATTTAATGTCAGTATTTAATACTAAAAGTGTACATGTGTTTGCTGTACTAGTTTGGGTTTTTTTTAATGATGATACCATTCACAGTTGTTAACGTACTTTGTGTCAGCAGTAACAACAATAAGTCATTATTGTTGGTTATACGCCATATGCCTTCCCTATACTAAATGCTTTCCATGTTTTGCAAAAGACTCCTTTTTTTCTCTTGTATAGAAATCTCTGCACAGAATACCAAATGCAGTTTCAAGACCAGATTAGAGGGAAGGGGAAAAAAATCCCCAAACAAAACAGAAAAGCAGCTGAACATAAGTGAGTAAGTTTGTATTTTCATTTATCACCACATTACTGATGTGGTGATAGAGGGACTAAAGTAATGCTGAAAGCAAGCGAGCCATTTTAAATCTATCTAGCCTTTGCAACCCTTGCAGTAGTGAAGTATACAAAATGCACTCTTACAGCAGTTTTCTGTCACCATATGCATCACACTGCTGGAGTTGATAAATGAGGGCAAGGAAGCTGCAAGCCCGAGGTTTTCATATTAAATGACACCTCCCAATTAACAATATACTGTTTAAAAATAAAACTATAAAAATAGAGCTCAGTTGAATGCAAACCTGCAGGAAAAAAATTGCACTTCAAATTATTTATTGAAAAAGAGATTGCAGCTCATTAGTCACTAGTGCATGTAATCTTTACAAAATCAATTGTAATTACTTTGTATTAACAGGCATTTTTAAACTGGTAAGGCTTTCAGGAGCACAGATCCAAACCCACATGCTCAAGTGTTTAGTGTTGCTTTCTTCTAAATGAACAGCCTGTGAACAAATCACATGAGTATAGGGATGAATAGTCCTTGCATTGTTAGGCTGCCTTGCAAAACTGCCCACCCAACCTCAGTAGGAAAATTCATGCGATAAATTTAAACCTCAGGTACCATAATAGGTGAAGATTTAGTACTTCAAGTCTTCTCTGACTCAACCAGGCAACACAGCCGTTAAAATAAGGGCAAGGAATACTATTTCTTTTCTTCCAGATGCCCTTTAAAACTTCATTCTGCTGTTCCACCCCTTTAGTCATACAAACCCCAACTCTAAGCAATTTTCAAGATAAGTGTTCCAGTATCATTTTCAAAATCAAAGCTAAAATGTTTGCAAGCTCTAGATACATAAATGCATTTACATAAGTGGAAGTTTTAGGCCACTAAACATTGCCTCTTACCTTCTGTTAGTCTGGCTTTACCCCCAGTAGGCTGACACAGGACAGTTGAGCACCCTACGCACAGAACAACTGTCTGAGCATGGCTGAATACAGTGGTGATCTTGTAGCATCCTGGAAAACAGCACAATTAAAATTTCCATTGACCATTTCTAGCATGATTTTTTGTATGTGTAATTGAACCAGATACTTGAAATACACTTGTCCAAAAAGGCATCTCTATTTCATTCCACAGCAAACCAAATAAAACAAAGCAAAACGTGGTTACCGTGATACGAACTAGTTGCTTTTACTGGCATGCGTATGAAAGCTAGTTAGTTAACTGAACCCAGGATGAAAATCAACATAGACTGATAGCTGTAAAGCCCTAATTAGCCTGTGATATGTCTCCTGCAAAAGAGTCAAGGAGAACTAGACTAGCCTTCTCTGTTGATTAGAACCACCCATCTACCTAGGGAAATATTTAACTTGTAATAATAGAACATTGCTGTTGGCAAAGTCTGGTAGCTGTGAATATAAACACTGATGTTTGAATCCATGTTTGCTTTCTGTTAATAATCGGTGCCCATAAGGCATGTGCTTAGTTGCATTCTATAAAGCTAGCATCATATCTGAGTAAGACTTGCACAGAATAACTTCACTAATTCCAGATGCAAGAAGAGGCATCAGCAGCACTTTGTCTACAACTTCTAAATTCTATGACTTATAAAAGAATGAAATCACTGTCACACATGGCTTAGACAAGCAAATTTCACTGCTTTCATTCTTTTCCCTAAAAAGTGTTTTTAATTACCCACAAGGAATTTTTGGAGGGAGAAAATCTGTAAATTTGTAAAAGATTTTGTCTAGATGTGGATGTACAGAATAGACAGATAAAGGTGAGCACAGATTCCATTTTCAGCATGCTCAGACCAAAAAAATAAGATAGAATGTATGTTGTGAGGAAGGGCCTTAGAAAGCTCTTGGCGCCTCTTGCTTAAGGCTCCTGTCAATATCGAAGTTCTCCTGCTTTGCTCTGTATGCCCCTCAAACTCAGTAACCAATTAATCCAACAATAATGAAAATAAGCAATGACCTATGGGCCTGTGTTGACATTAACTGTATTGTAGTATGTGTCTTCATGCACACTGGTTTGAAGAAAGTTGAAAAAAAGAAGCAGTATCAGTAGCTTAGCCTTCAACCATGTTGTTTTAGAAGTAACCACACTGTACTTTCAATCTGTTTTAATGAATTCACATCACTTTTAGATGGAAAACAATGTCTCAGAGCTGCTTAGGAATCTAAGCTACTAAGAAAAGATAAGATAATAAGAAAACCTGACTACAGCACCAGTTCCCTTCTAGTTGGGGTGATCACTCCTGTAAGTAAGTCTGTGCATTTTCTGACTGCTACAGTAGTAAACAGTAAATAAGCACACTTGACAGTTTCTGTGCCTACACATGGATGTAGCTGTGCTGACAGAAGAAGGTGTTTGCTGGTAGAACATCCTCCATTGATTGTGCTGGAAAACCCCAGGTTTTAGTTTATAAAAGAGAAGATGGTTATACTGATGTTTCTGAGCCAAACTGGTGAAAATCTTTGAAAAGCAGAAGCAATCCCCTGTATGTGTGTGCTAGATGTCACCTTGCTTCTTGACAGCAGCATGTGATAAAGGCAGTTGTAGATGTTTCGCTTTCTACGTAAAATTACAGTTGCCGGCATATATCCCTGTGAAAGGTTTTTCTGGGTGCTCTTCCAGAATCAATCAGCTTGCAGAAGGAGGAAAACAATGTTGTCTTCCATTTGAAACTTGAGCCATGGATGCTTTAAAGCAAGAAAAAAAGACTACAAGAAACCTGGAGAGGGACTTTTTACAAGGACATTTAAGCACGTGTCCTTGTAAAGGTCAAGGGGGAATGGTTTTAAACTGAGAGGGAAGAATTAGATTAAACATTAGGCAGACGTTCTTCCCTGCGAGGGTGCTGAGGCGCTGGCACAAGGTGCCCAGAGAAGCTGTGGCTGCCCCATCCCTGGCAGTGTTCAAGGCCAGGTTGGACACAGGGGCTTGGAGAAAGGTGCTTTAGTGGAAGGTGTCCCTGCCCATGGCAGGGGGTCGGAGCTGGATGAGCTTTAAGGCCTGTTCCAACCCAAATCAGGCTGGGATTCTGTAATTTCATCTCCACACATGTAAATCTGAAGGGAGGTGCATGTGTGTGTGTGTGCCTACTTGGTAGGAAACGCACCAGACCTCCGGAAAGAAAAACAAAAACCCTGTTGTTTACATTCACCTTTGAAAAAGGGTGAAAACACTCATTGTTAAACAAACAAACAGAGCAATATATGGACTGATTTTTTTCTGTACAGAACAGATAAACGACATTTATATTGGAAAAAAGAAAATCAGACCTTTAATGGAGATGACCCGTGTACAGAATTAGTTCTGATCCTTTCTGTAAGATATAATTTAGATACTTACCTGGGCATTTTACATCCATGAAGTAGGAGTTGGGGCTCTGCACAAGCCGTTTCTTCTTGTGCTTTCTCCTCTCATCCTCCGCGGAGGGGTGCACCAGGTCCTTGGCCAGCTGGGGAGGGCAGAGCACAGGAGTGTTGGGCTCAACGCACAGGCTGGACGCCGCGAAGCCGCCTCCAGCCTCTGCCCGAGCACGGCCGCAGCACTGGGAGCAACGTCCCCGGCCCCGGCGGCCTCGGGGCGCGGTATCGCGGTGGCTCCGGCCGTGGCTCGGAACAACTTACGGGCATCTCGGCCTGCAGCGGCGCCCGACCCGGACTCGGACCCGCACCCGCACCCCGACCAGAGCTGCTCCTGCCGCTGCCGCCCCTGCTTCCGGCGGGCGGGGCCCCCCGGCTCTCCCGCAGGAGGAGGAGCGGAAGCAGGAGAGATTGCGGGGGGCGGTGGGGCGAAGGGGTCCGCTGCGTCCTCGTGGGGATGTGGTGTGCGGGACTGCCACACTGCGAGCCGGTCACTGCCCTGCGTGTCACCCCTGTCCCTTTAGTTGACCAGGAAATCAGTGCAGCTTGTGTGCACGGTGCACTGGCTTCCTGCAGAGCACCTCTGCACGAGCGCCCGCTGCTTCCGCGCCTACAAAATGGCACAAAATCACAGGAAAAGACAGCGGGAGACCTTTTGGGATGGCCATGGCAGTTTGTGGTGGGGCAGTGCCGCAGTGCTCGCTCTACCTGCAAGTCAGAAACTGGTTAAGCACAGAGAATGATAGTCCTGATGTGCTTCCAGTTCTCTTTTCAAAAAGTCTGCTCATTTTCCCCTCTAACAGAGGTATAATTAGGAACAATTCCTTCCCCAAAGGCTGCTTACGCATTGAAACAGGCTGCCCAGGGCAGTGCTGGAGTCACCGTCCCTGGAAGTGTTCACAAACCTTGTAGACAAGGCTCTCAGTGACATGAGTTAGTGGTGGCCTTGGTGGTGCTGGGGAACGGTTGGACTTGATCTCAAAGGCCTTTTCCAACCTCGTTGATTCTGTAATTCTATGATTCTATGATCTAGAAGTCCCATCTACTTTTATATTAGATGCTGACTACATTGTCACTTGTGGTGTTTCACAGTAAAAGACACGTTGGGTGAAGCTGTGCTCATGTGTAGGGGTGTGGGTTTTTTTCTCAGTTTGCCACCCCAATCGAAAAGCAAAATGCGTAAGAAATTCTCTATTTCCCATTTATGTGCTCCGGTCAACTTGGAGACCCTCAGAGAAATCAAAATGTTGGAGATAGTGGGAAGGAAAAAAAAACACCAGAATTTTCATCAATCTTTTTAGTAAGAGCCTGAGTGTTTTTTTTTCCGTAAGTCAAATTATGAAAATAATCACAAATATCATCTGTAAAGACTCTCGGATCTCAAGTCCGAACATTTAAAGATGTAATTCACTACAAGCCCGGTAAGTGGCACCAATAGGCCTGGGACGCATGAAAGTGGGCGGTATGGAAAGTCTTCTAAAATGTACAAGGGGCAGCGTGCTGAGCTCTCCTCCTCCTTTTTCTCCATCTGGGCGAGAGAACTGATGCGTTTAGCAGGCAGTATTTTAAAAGTCTGCCATGAGCACAGGTGGAGATGGAAGTTTATAGAAACATATCTTTGTGACAACAATACTCCCAAAGCTGGGATGGCCTCTGCAGTGCTGACACTGTACGTGACTTTCACAACGCTTTCTTCCCATCCCAAAACCCAAGAGCAGACCAACGTGTTGTAGTGCTCCAAGCCATTACATTGGTTTGCCTTTTCTCATCATTGCAACCGTTGTCTTGTAACGTTGTAATGCTATGTTAGCATACTTTCCTTATGGGCTGGAGTGGTGATGACACACAAATAGTGGTATTTTGGAATTATTTTTTGTTATATCATGGGGAATTTAGTATGAAAGGCTCTGACTCATATTTTCCTCTGCATGCTGTCATGTGACGCGAGGAACACGAACCAGCTGTCAGTGCAGTCAGTCCTCGAGTTTTGGTTGTTCCTACTACCTTTCAGTCTTCTTCAAATGCATGTAATTTATCTGCGAGCAGAAGGAAAGGGGAATCATCTGTTTAAGCCTCTTAACTCAGAATCTGAAGGAGAAAAACATTTTTCCTTTAAGAAAATAACCTTTGCAATGTATGAAGTGCCACCAACAAAAAAAGACAACTTCTAAAGTGCCGCCCTTCTTCCCCTCTGCCTCCCAGCTTTCTCTTCTTAATGTCTTTCCTGCAAGGAGCCTCTGGTGCGTGAGGAAGACTTTAGAGTCACAGTTTACATTAAAAATTGGTTTCTGTGGAAGGAGGGGCACACAGGATGATCTGAAAACAGGATGTGTTTTGGACACATTCCTCTGGTTCTCTATTTTGGTTGTACTGGAGATTCATTTCCTTTTCATAACTGCTTGTAGTTCAGTGACCTGCTGGACGAGTCAGTTGTAATGCATTACCTTCAATCGTAGTGACTGAAGCTTTTTTGAAGTATACTCTTTAGAAAACAGAAACACAGCAGAGTTTAAGTTGCAAGTTAAGGAGGAGAGAAATGCTGTCTCTACCACAGAGTATTGTCATTAAGACCTTTTAGATTTGCATGCACTAGCCAGCTCTAAGCTGCACTCAGAATAAGTAGGTTCACTTCAAGTGGTGTGTTTGATGCGCAGCACAGTCTCCCTGTGGTTTTGCCTATACTGCAGCATTAAGTATTACAGTTTTAACGGATTATAAATTAATGGTGTAAACCGTGGCATTAATGGTGTAAACCATTCATTTGGTTTAAATATGCTTATGCTGAGATAGTTTAGATGAGCTCTGGAACTTAAAGAAGGTCAACTTTTAGCACTACTACAGCAAACCTTGAAGTTAAGGGAACTTACAGATAGCAGCCTTCCAGTATCTGAAGGGGGTCTATAAGAATGCTGGGGAGGGACTCTTCATTAGGGACTGTAGTGACAGGACAAGGGGTAATGGGTTAAAACTTAAACAGGGGAAGTTTAGATTGGATATAAGGAGGAAGTTCTTTACTGTTAGGGTGGTGAGGCACTGGAATGGGTTGCCCAGGGAAGCTGTGAATGCTCCATCCCTGGCAGTGTTCAAGGTCAGGTGGGACAGAGCCTTGGGTGACATGGTTTAGTGTGAGGTGTCCCTGCCCATTGTAGGGGGGTTGGAACTGGATGATCTTAAGGTCCTTTCCAACCCTAACTATTCTATGATTCTCTAAGAGTCTTACGGTGCTTTTCCTTTCTGAACTGAACTAAACATATTTTAAGAAATTTTTCTTCATCTGATAATTACTTGATTTAACCCCTCCTATATAAAGTTCTACAGCATATACATCTGGAAAATTCAGACATTTAGATCACGAGAGTAAGGGAGAGTACTATTCTTTGTAAAGACCACAAGACTTGAACCTATGTGTTCATCTTTCCTAAACTAGGACTTAAAAGCGGGACATATGGACATACCAAATGCAGTAAGACAAAGTGTAGAATGAGCACAGAAGTATCCACCTGCAGTGAAAAACTTATTTACTGCAACTGGGGAATAAGTTAACATTATTTTTAAAGGGGTGTCACATGATGGTCATCAAACAGTAATAAATTGCAGAGACATCTGCCAAAACCAGAGTTGTTATAGATATACATCAAAAATATTATGATATTAGTTAGCAGAGTCCAAAAGCTAAAGAGCAAAGCTCATGTTAATGATTTGCAGTGAGGTGGCATTTGGGACAAGCATGCCTTATAAGATTAACTTTTGTAGGACTTGGACCTGTGGATTCCAGTTAACGTCAAAATAACACGGTTCTGGTTCTACCCACAGGTTTTAAACACGACTGTTTTTTTTTGAAACCTTGTACTTAAGCAATTAAGATGTAGATTTTCCTACAATTTTGTATGCATTGAACAGAAGGGCTTGATCAAAGACATCTTTCCACACAGTTCTCTTTACTTAACCAGTCTCACCTTTGAACTGAGGGGAAAAGAGGTTTTTAAAAGCTCAAGGTAATGACATCTATCATCTGAGAGAGTGAAAATGAGAGTGGGAATGAAGTAGCAGTGTAATCTTTTGGTTTGTTTTTTTTTCCTTAAAAATGTAGGTGTTGGTAAAATAGTCACAAGTTTTCATGATGAGGTATCATAGTGCCTTGGTTACTGAGCCTTAACAGCTTTGATAGTACTCCTCAGGGTTTTACTAGGATATTCAAAGTGTACATTGTACAATTCTGGGTTTTCCATGTTCTAAAAGATAAAAAAATGTAACTCTTAATTTTTATATCTTGTTTTTAAAGTTCATGGCTAAGTAAACATCTGTCCCTTGAATCTGGAAGACTGGCACTTTCCCAAACCCGGCGCAGTATTGCAAAGCCCTCGTGTAATTGAAGGGGAAGTAATTTGCATTATTTTTCTATAAAACTCCTCTTGTGTAACAGATGGTGATCGCAAACATATTGCTCCAGAGACATATGGAAGCCTGTTTGTTCCATAAAACTCAAGAGTGAATATTAACCCCAAAATTACTCTCTTCAATGCTGAAATACGATTGTGGAGTAATCTTAAGTATGAGCGTTACAATATGTAGCAACTCATGTCTCTGAAAATACAGATACAGGGAAGTGTTTTAGAGATTAGTTTTTTATTTGCCATTTCCTATAATATGATGATCCATGCCAGTCTGAAAGAATTAACTGATTTGGTTTAACTGCTACAGTGCCAGGTTGCCATTATTGTGTATAAGATTTAGTCTTGTATTGAGTACCTTAACAACCCATCTTAACATCTGAACAGCCCCGCTGCTAATTATACAATACAAAAATGAACCAAGCAGCCACATTTCCAAAGCCTTGAGCTCAGCAGAGGTCTCAAAGTGTGTAAAAAAAAACCTGGCAATTCCCCCTATCCTTGTTTTGTTGCCTTGATCCTGCTCTGTCAGATGATATCCTGGTCTCCAGAGGTCTCAAACAATGAAATTTGTACTTGAATCACAACACAGCCTCTGTCATGTAAAAGTAGATCTTGATACAGTTAACTGAAAGCTTGGTTATCATTCATGATATTCATCTTCTGCAGAGATTTACACCAGCTCCGTCATTGGATATTTGATGGTTTGTTATGACAAACATGTATTGGCCAGGAACACCACCAAACTGAGACCCTTAACAAGAAAGGTTTGGAATAACTTGATAACTAGGAGCAGAATAGCTTTTGAGGTTTCAAGGTTTATAATGGCTAAAATATTTTCCTTTTTTTTTTTTTTTTTTTTTTTTGTGATTCCTTGGAATACTTTGCACAAATACAGCTGTAGCCAGGTGCTGGAATAGTTTAGCCCTGTTTCACCCCATCAAATTGTAGGTTAATGACATAGACTGATTTTTTTGTGTGTTTGGAATGTGCAGGCTAACTATGTATGACAGCTTTGAACCTGCTTGG